CAGGACTTGACTTTTCTCGCAATGCACCTTGGGTCTGGCTCCAGGGCCGGCCCACAACTCCTCCCCAGCCTCACTCACCCCGGGCCCCCCATATTCGCTCGCAAAGACCCGGCCTTGACAGGCCGGCAGTCAGATGTCCCTGCTTCCTCGCAGAAGCCCCATGAGGCGCCTTTCTGATGGCCCCCCCCTCTACTTCACCTTGGCAGCATCTTCGGTACCGTCATCCAGTTTACATCCGAGCCCGTGCTTGGCGCCGGCGCGCGGAGGTGCCAGTCGTTCTCACGTTTCCTTATGCTTGACACCCACCAGCCCCTTGACTTATGTGATCTCCAGGGGATCATCCATACCTCGGACGCACAGCTAAAGCTCAATTGCAAAGTTGGCAGTTGCTTGCTTGTTGGGCACCGTGTATCATGTCTCGCCCCCCGCGTCGTCGTGGCCTCTTTGACGGAAAAAAGGTTGTCTGTCCGTGAGGAACCACGATCGATGCTTATTTCTCCAGGTTTCCCACCTCCGATTGCTTCATGTAAGACCTCTCTTCTCTCATCTCTTCTCTACCGCAGATTCAACGCCTCTTGGCGGTTACCAATACCTTCCTTTTTAATATTTTATTATAATTTCACTTCAAGCCTCTGAGAGGACTGCGCCGCTTTGCCTATACCACTATTATCATTACCACAGAACAAGGGGAAGAAAAGAGCAAGGCCTCTCTTGTCACCGCTTGAGTCATCTACCTACTTTTGGCATATTTACCACGCCATAGTAAGCCCGAAACCTGGCACAGCAGCAATAATACGAACATTTCACGCCCGACGCTCGCATTTCTTTCCAGATCCCTGATGCGCGCAAGAGAGAGTCGGCCACCGAAGTCGCCTGCAGACCAAAGCAAGCCGGGCTGCCTCTCAAGTCTCTATCCCTTTTTTCCTTCTCATCCGCTAGTCGCCATTGGACCGGGTTTTGTGGTCCACCAGCGTACGCGTACATACTACGTATGATAGGCGTAGTCGTCACTCTCTGAAAAATCGGGGGTGGAACTACGTGAAGCGTATCAGCTTGAAGAAAAGATGGTTCCAAATCTGGGACCAAACACATCACTCGGCTACACTCCGTTTGAGTACTGGAAGGGTCCGAAACCCGTCCTTCCCAGACCAAAGCGCAAATCTAGAGCCGTCGCCCTCGACCTAGAGCCGTTGCTTCCCACCCCCACCCCGGCCCCGAAGCCTAGAGCAGCCGCGAGATGGCCTGGTCAACATCCTCCTGCAGGTGTCTTCGTGGCGCAGCCAGGCACATATATCGTATCGCCCAATATCAATCGTAGCAAGACACCTTTTGCGGAGATACTCGTCGTGCCACCAAAGGTCCTGGTCCACCCACTTTTCCGGGACGAGATAAAGACCCCAGACTGGCCCCGAGGCTTCTCTCCGTACCCCGATTCCATGAACGACTCTGACTACTACGGCGGCATCATGGGCGACTACGGATTTTCAAACGAGCGCCTCGGGCAACAACAGACTGCGTGGTGGAATCCCAAGGGATGGACGAAACGGATCTGGGCTGGCGTCGGCGGTGCCCTCGTCATCATCATTGTCATTGTCGTTGCCGTCACCGTCACACAAAACAACAAGAACCGATATCCCGACTATTCCCAGCTGACGTACAAGCTGAGTGACACATGTACGGAACCGTGCTCAGGGTCCTCGCCCGTCGCACGAGCCCCCGGCTGAATAAATGACCATGAACACTCGATCTGATAATGACAGACTCTGGAGAGAACTTCTTCGATGGCTTCAACTACTTCAATACCTACGATCCTACTGGGGGTATGGTTCACTACGTCGGTGCCGATGAGGCTGCAAGCAGGGTATTTAAACATCTTCACCCACTACTTTTATGGAACCACCGGCTGAGTATGCAACTTTTCTTCGTGAAATAAAGAACCTCACATACGCCACATCCTCCACCGCCGTGCTGAGGGTAGACCACACCACCGGCAACACCTCATCGCCCGACGCCTCGACGGGCCGCTTCTCCGTCCGCGTCGAGTCCAAGACGCAGTACGACAAGGGCCTCTTCATCTTCGACGTGAAGCACACACCCTACGGCTGCGCGAGCTGGCCGGCGCTCTGGTTCTCGGACCCCAACAACTGGCCCGACGCCGGCGAGATCGACGTCATGGAGGCCATCAACCAGGGCACCGACGGCAACCAGATGACGCTGCACACGACGTCCGGTTGCGAGATGAGCGTCAAGCGCAAGCAGACGGGTTCGACGCTGCAGTCGGACTGCAAGAACACGACAAACGGCAACGCGGGTTGCGGCGTCGAGGGCAAAGCCTCGACGTACGGATCCGACTTCAACGCCGGCGGCGGCGGGTACATGGCCATGGAGTGGCGCGACGAGGGGATCCGCGTGTGGCAGTTTGCGAGGGACTCTGTGCCCTCGGACATCACGGCCGCGTCGTCGCCCGACCCCAGCACCTGGGGCGAGGCGCTCGCCGATTTTCCCAACACGGCGTGCGATATGAGCTCCCACTTTTCGAACCAGTCGCTCATCATCAATATCGACGTCTGCGGCTCGCTCGTCGAGGCAAAGTATGCTGATTCCGGGTGCGGCGGGAGCAGCTGCTCGGATTTCCAGGCCAACAACCCGGACGCCTTCAAGACGGCGTACTGGGAGTTCGGGGCCTTTAACTTTTACACCGCGTCGTGAGTGCGGCACGGTGCTGATGAGGTGATGATGAAGAAGAACAGGAAGAGAGCAAATAAAAGGGGAACAAAGATGAGGGATACGGGACAAGAGGGAAGAAGAAAAAAAGACAAGGCTTACATGAGATGACATGAACCAAGGTCGCCACCAAGGCAGGAACCCCAGGTGGCCGAGGATCGTCACGGGATCCGATTCTACGACTATTTGACCTTTTCAGTGAGAGCCAGCGAGCTTTTTCTAGTACACGGCGTTGAGCTTGATTCCCTCCCGGGTAGGACGCCTCGGGATTACTAGAATACCAGATAAGAACGGGGAGGATAGGCTTAGATTGAAAGAAGCAAAAATGCACCTATCGTGCAATCCATCAACTCGGATATCGGAATTGCTGAATCAAGGCCAAAAATATTACAATTCTATTCTTGCTTCCGACATGTAGTCTATCCGACAGAGATCTGAGCAGAGTCGTCCCGCTGGCGTAGGCGGGTGTACAACAACAACACCACCAACCCTTGAAAAATCCAAAGTGGAGAGAGTTTCTGGCATCTATATCGCTTCCCCCTTCCCCCCTTCTTCTAAGCCGGCTCCTCCCAAAACAAAAAAGGGCCAGTAGAATATGACTGAACCGTTCCCGTAACGCCGTGCAATGCAAAAATGCTTCTCCCATCCGCCTTTTTGTTGGTACATGTACAAATAGTCACTTATCGTCGCCCCAAGACGGAGAGCAGGAACAAAAGCTCATGCATAGCCTCTCCGCCCGCCCCAGAGTGACGGGAGAGGCAATAGCCCCCCTCATCATCCCCACAAACAACCCCCCTACTCATCGCTCGGCTGCCTCATGTACGCATCAATAGCAGCACTAAACGCCGCAAACGCGACACACCCGCCCAACGCAGCCTGCGGCCCAGCATTCTTGGCCAAGATCCCGCCCGTCAGACATCCCGCAGCGACACCGTTGCCCAAATCGTTCTTGGCCCGCAGACCCTCGATACCGCACTCGATGCCCGCGAACAGCGCGCCGACTTTGCCAAAGTTCTTGGCCATGCTGTACGACCGCGTGCCCATGTCCTTGAAGCCCACGCGCAGCTGCTGGCGCAGAGGTAGGTCCGCGATGGGCGTCACCGTCGTTTGGCCGGCCGTCGTTGCTGTGTGGAAGGGGGTGTCGTAGGACATCTGAGCAGAAGAAAGGGGGAAGTCAGTCTTAATGCGCTTTTCTAGTTCGGAGAGGAGAAAAAGAGTGCGGGAGAAGAAGGGGGGGAGGAAAACGTACAGATGCCATGAACATGCCAAATAATCCTCCCATACCGAAACCCATGACACCAGACATGATACTCTTCGTAAAGCAGTTCTCCATAAAGTTGGTCATCTGAGCGCAAGTCCATCGTTAGCAGAGAGTCATCCCAAGAGAGATACCTTTCTCAACATACAGCCTTCATCTCAGGATCCGGGGGGCCCAGAGACGCCGCCGCGCCTGGGGATCCGCCTTGCGACTCTTGGGGAGGCATCGCACCGCCGCCGGGGAAAGCCATTGTGTGGTAAAGGAAATTAGTTGTGTGGTTGTGGTCGTTTGTAGGGAGCGACTCGGTTGGATTGTGCCGATAGAAGCGATCGCGACGCGTAGGTTGAGTTGGAAATGAATGCGCCGGAGCTGATGGATCTTGAATATTTCTGCCAACAAAGACCGCCCCTGGGTAGACAGACACTCGTCCCTGAATGCGCCGATGGCAAATTTATTTCACGCTGCTCATGGGCTTGCCAGGTACCTCTTATCTTATCGGTGGAGCACGTGCAGACCCCACCGTTCTTGTTCGACCTCCCTCCCTCCGAGCGGGCCTTGCCGACTTCGGGTGGGGCCAGATGCCGGGTCTTCTCCGGATTTGCATCTATGCTTCACTGTGGCTGCGATACTAATACGTCCATTACTGCCAAGGCGGGGGGTTAATGTCACCATCGTGTTTACTCTTCGTTGCCAAATTTTGCCTTATCAATGTTTTCCACCTTTCTTGAAAAGTGAGCTACAAGAATCCTATTCTCTATCGGAAGAGCATGCCCGTCAATCAGAGGTCTGCTATGATATCCGCTTGGCATGCCATCCGAACGTCTTTGGACGGAGACAGGCATGAACCAAACCGAGCCTTCTTGCTGCTATAGACCCTGAATCACGAAACCTCACGCTCATCCCTGGTATCACCACGGCGTACCGATATCGATCCTGGATGCATCGAACAAAAACTCTAAATCTTCTCGATACCACGTTCCTTCGGCATCCAAGACTGTAGAAGATTAGCCACCATGCATTACCGCAAAAAGAGGTCGCCAACGCCGTTTCTAAGCGTTCGTGTTCGGTCAACGTGGTCGAGACCGAGGTAATCATCGTCATTCGTCGCAATCTTCCACAACTCGTCATCTGCTCATCGGTCAGCATTGTAAAAAGGGCATGGTTGCAGTAAATTCTCACCATCGTTAAGGTATTGTGGCTTTGAGAAATGAGATCTCTTCACCACCGCGAACTTGATCTTCTCGAAACTCTTGCCCTTGATACCAGTCCGCTTCTCCAGGCGCTTCTTTGTATCCACGAATTGCTCACCCTGGCATATCATTAGCATTGTGCGAAGCGTCGTTTGCAGAGCGGCACATACCTCGACGAGCATGAACTTGAAAGGAACACCGTGGACCCTGCTAGGCTCATTCTGGAAATGGAACACTTGAATGAAGTTGGTCGCCTCTTCGTCGTTGATCTCTTCCTCGGGTACGCGTTCGGCGAAAACGTTGGTGTAATCGTTCATACTAATGACGGGGTAATCGCGCGAGAGTTCGCGGTAAAACTTGTGGCTGCTGGTCTCGTACACGCGAATACGACCTCCTTCGGTCTCGTCAGGAATGCTGGCCTTCTGGATCAAGACTTGAATCAGGTCCTCAATGTGACCGTTTTTGGCCACGAGGAGATCGAACTGCTCCTGTGCATTGTTAGCATGGCATTCCTGTACGGCGTGCTCCACTGTAACTCACTTCCTTCGTGATGCCCTCACTCAGCCAAGTGATCTTGATGCTCTTCTTGGTGTCCAGCTCAGCCAAGCTCATGTCTAATACCTCAAAGTAGAACGCATCGGTTCGTTGACTTGAACTGAGTTGATTGTATCCGGAGGGATTCAAGATGAGCTGCAGACTCTGGTTGACGCCACGCTTGACAGTCGTCTTGGGGTTACCTGTGGCTGAGTTGACGGTCCAGAAGCGGATGTGTGTAGGGTCGACTTCGAGCTTCTCGCCGACGCGGTCTGCAAGAATGTCGTAGCTGATCTTGGAATTCAGGACCAACTCAAAGGGAGGGAATCTCTCGGCATTGCAACGTGTCGGGTGCGCGTGGAACTTGACAGTCTTCTTGTTGTGAAGGAAGTCGTAGTACTCCCGTGCGTCGTCGAAGCGGTCGGCCTTCTTGGCAGGCTCTTCCGCTGCCTGCTTGTCGCCCAGACCCAGACGCTTTTCAAGGATGTTCCTGTCGCCCTTGCGTTCCGTGGTCTTTTGGAAGCAAATGATGTCGCCATCCTGCAATTCCGCAGCCTTAAGAGATTGCTTGGCCTTCAGAGCTTCGATCATGGTCGGTTTGATTTCCTGGAAATGGTCAATAAGGTCTCGGCATGCACATCAAGATTCAAGAGCTTACCTCCCAAAGGGAAATCTTCTCGTCACCTGGCAGCTTCTCGCCCCATCCCATCTTTTTCATGATGATTGGGACCAGTTCCTCTACCTTCTTCTCCTTGCTGATGTAGACGTGGCCGATGCCATAGAGAGATTGAGCCTCCACGTCGAAGTGCTTGAGGAAGATCAGGATGAGGTCATTCTTAACGACAACCCCATTAAGCTGGCCTTGATACGTGGGCCACACTGCCTCGCCCTCTGGTGTTGTCTCTTCTGCCACTTCAGCCCAGACTCTCAAGAACTGATCTCGGTGTGCAGCCGCCCTTTGGAAGGCCTCCTCAACCGTAGGTCGCAGATCCATAATGGGCTGATCAGGACGGATTGTCTTGTTCTGGCGATTAACCATGACCCAGAGGCGAACCTTGCGAGGGTCTTGCTCGAGGTCTGCCGCGATAGTACCCACCAGATCCTCCATTGTCGAAGCTCTCAGTACGCGATACGAGCGTGGCGCCGCATCGCCATCGGCCTGGTCCGCATCGAACGATGTCAAGTCGGTGCCTCCGTGATTCTTGAAGGTCTTCTCGGTGATGACCTTGACGCCGATATAGAGGTGCTGCTCCTCCTTCTCCTTACGCTTCGCCTCTCTGAGAGCAGTCTCTTCGTCGAACTTTGAGCGCAGATGGAGAGGGATATCCTCCTTAGAAACCGGGCAAAGAATGTTATCCAGGCGCGACTGGCGAATGTAAACCAACATGTATGCGCTGTTCTGGCGTACGACCGGGGCCTTCTTCTGGAGAGGTGCTCGCAAGTGGTTGGCGGGATGTGTTTTGTATTCTCCGCCAAAGTTCTCCTCAAGCACCTCACGCATCGTGGCTCTTGTGACCTTATCATCGTCGTACTTGTAGAACCATCCATCCTTTTCAGGCTTGAGGAATGCATAGTAGTGGCCGGCGTTCAGGTCACCGCTGTGAACGAGGACGCCATGAAGCTGATACGTCCACGACTCTGATTTGTCAGCATCCTCAGAGAGGTACGGCGCTGCGTCGAAGGTTTCGGGGAATTCGTATCGATCGTTGATCTTCATCATGGTGTCTCGTTGAATGTCGTATTCGAATCGCTTCAGCTGCAAGTGCAGGACGTTGGGGAAGCTCTGGAAAATGACACCCTTGTTGGCATCCTGCAGCTTGAACTCGTCGCCGGCGTAGTACTGGTTCTCGCCGTCCATCTTCTCAACCTGGACGTAGTCCTTGAAACTGTCCAAAAGGTTCTTGTTGCCGCTGACATTGAGCTGGATGTCCCAGAAGTCCTCGACCCGGCTGGACTCGTAGTCGACGTTGACGCAGGAGATGTACGTCTTGATCTTACCACTGAACATTTGCGGGAGAACGTGCTCGGCCGGAGTACCCTTCATCTTCTCTTCCATACGCTCCATTAGCTTTCGCGACAACTCCTGAACATCCTGCTGCTCAAAAATGTGTCTTGTTTCCCAGCCAAAGGACTTGGTCAGCTCGTTCGTTCCGACAGCCTGCTCAGATGTCTGTAGTTGGTAAAAGAGACGCTGCAGAGTGTATGCGCTGTTGCCCATGCTCTCTTCGTGGTCTGTTGGAATTTCGTAGATGGCCTACAGATAGTCAGCAATGGCGCAATAAACGTCCAAAGGGTTTTGTGAGTTGACCTTTCGGAAAGCGTTGGTAAAGTACAAAGACTGAAGAAGAGAGTTTAGATAACAAGTGGCGCCTTGGTTGCGGAGGCCAACGTAGCCTGTTTCCTTCTTGGAATCGTAGTTGTTGAAGTTGTGCCAAAGGACACCAGTTTCGTCTTTGACAAGGCGGAGATAGGCTGTGATGTTGGCAGTCTCGTTCTCGCAAAGTGGTCGACTGCCGCCCTCCCAGGGCACGTTGAACATCTTTCGCAGCTCGAGGAAACGAGTGAAGCCCCAGTCTGACTCCTCCTTTGTGAATCTATGGTGCGCCGTGTGGTGGGTATAAAGAGTCGGGTCGTTCGGGTTCCATAACACAAGCGCGAACTGCACGCAGCAGCTCCAATTCTCGGGAATGTTTGTCGGCTCAAATCCATGCTCAAGATAAATGGAACACTGGTCAACGTTGTTGCCGTGAGGAAAGAGAAGAATGCGCCTGATGTGAGTGTAAGCGAGGGCATTGAGAGAGAGCACCACAAGGGAATGGAGGTAGCGCACCAAGGAAAGCCGCCAGCCTGGAATACAGGACCATGTTCCTTCTTTGACATTGATCGCCATGCTTCGACAGTCCATGTGTTGACTACATCTTCGAGCACTTCGGGCTCTTCGTGGAGGTGTGGGAAAATGACATCCTTCATAGCATCGACTACACTGAGTTAGCCGGCGCGCAGTCTGAAATAGGTTGGTTATGCCTACAGTCATTTGCCAGAGGCAGGTCCTGCAGCTGTTCGGCCCCATTGTCGATGTTGTCAGGGTCGATGATGGCAATAGGCTCCTTCTCTGAGTCGGTGCCGCCGACGCACTCGTCAGTGTCCACCACCATCTCGTTCGGCGAGTGGATATCGTTGTTGTAGCTCTGGAGTAGTAGACTCAGGTCAGTCAAAGAAACGGAATAATATTTGATACAGTAGCAGGAGAGTAGCTAGGAAGAGATGCGGCGTGGTAGGGGTAGAAATAGATACAGCAGCAGCAGAGAGCTTGGCTGGCCCGATGGCGGGGTATCGAACGTCGCTCGAAGTCCAAGCAGTCCAAGCTGAAGCCTGGGGCGATGGAGGGGATGGGAAGTTGTGGTGGTGACGAAGCTCAGCAAAGAAGAGGTGCGAGAAAGGAAGTGGTATTGTGCAAGGGATTAGTCGCTTTGTCTTGTGCACTCACCATGGTCTATGTGCCGCGGGATGACGGGAAGTGCGAGAGGAGCCGATGCCGTTGCCAGTCAGGGAAAAGCAGCAGACTGGCGATTTGCGCCAGGGCTGCTTCGATGACGGAGTGGGTGCCGCAGAGGCAAGTAGGCGACAGGTCGACAAGCGATACAAGGGTCGACGGAAGGCTGCGTTATTGACCCAGGAAATGGCGGGTACAACGAGCAATTGTTGCCTTGGGAGGATGAAGCAAGTCGTGACAAAATGTTGGTGAGGAAGAGATCTTGCATGAACAAAAGACAAGACCAGGAAGGTGGAGGCGGCGGGCTGGTCCAAGCAGGTGCGGAACCTACCTCAGAGACAGGTGCAAGGTCGGTCGGCAAGGTGAGGTGAGGTGAGGTAAGGCAAATGGAGGTGCACTGTAGGGCAGGTACGTACAGGCGGGTGCTGTCGCTAACAGAGTGGGCAGGTGGGAACTGGGCAAGAGGCAGTGAAGGCACCTCAGTCAACGTGTAGACACCTCTGGTAGAAGGTGTAGAGGGTCACAGTAAATCCGCCTTTAAGGAAGTGTTTTCTTTCTTTTGAGTGAATGAGACAGGAGCAATGAGATGGTCTTACACCAGTGTCTACTATGATCAAGACAGGCAACTCAATTTTCTAGGTTGTCATGGTGGAGAGAATGGAATAGTGAGAGAAAGGTGAGGCGCAGTGCAGCATTAGAGTCCCAGAAAGGCCCTCGTGAGACCAAAAGTATTAAATGTCAGGCATTACCTTATTAATGGAGTGCTCGGCTGTGAGGAGCAGGAGCAGGCAGAGGAGTGAAAGGGTACATGGTTTATGTTAGGACTGTTGACGGAGACTCTGCTGTTGTCTTAACAGATCCGGGTCAAATCGTGCCGTGGCAAGTACCTGAGGCCTGCATAGGACCTTTTTCTACCGGCCAGCTGGGGGCAAAGGTGAACTTCACCTGCTGCTCTGATGCAGCCACTCAATGAAGCCGCTGTCTGGCTAGCACAAGCTACACCTACCCAGATGGTCTTCACCCCTCTGATTGGGGTAGAAGGCCCCCACACATCCAATGACGTTTCTGTGACTGCCAACAGAGCTTGCCCATTCCAGTTTCCTTTCACCTCCCAGCTGTGTTTCTGAGACCTGATACTGCTGTAGTGATGCCGGCGGGTTTGTCTTTTTAACATCTGATCGACTCAGGTCATTTCAGCCTTGCATATCAGCCACCACTTCTTCAAATGTTTAACTTGGTCAAGCAAAAGCTGGACTAACGGATGGCTGACGTAAACGCCTAGGGCTCATCAGATCCTCCACAGACATATTCAGTAAGCAAGCAGTGTCAAGGTACCTTAGTTTTGCAACCCCATCTCATCGCCTGAAACTTTGATCTATACGTCTAGTCTCACATGAGGATACAGCCAATTTCTGCCGTACCTACTTACAGAACGGACGCTAAACAGCAAATCTGTTTTTGACAAACAACGAGTGTTCCTCCTCCGAGCATGACACCTCTGGTCCCGAACTTCTGAGCGGGCTGTTCCTCCACGGATAGCTCTTACAAGCAACCAGCCAACCTGTCATACTTCTAATGAGATTCGCCTTCACTTATGCGGACGGTCTGAAGCACTGGATTCGGCTGAAGTAAGCATTGAAAGCTTTCGCGCCGCTTGCCTTCCTCACTGACTGGTCGCTCGACTCATCCGAAATGTGGGCATCCCAAGAGCCTGGTACTCATACTGGCTGGCCGCAGTAAAGTTTCCATGTCATGGATATATGAACACTACAGCATGGGTACATTGCACATGCAAGGCTCATCTTTTACATGCCATCTATGACTGCCGGAGACATTGCTCTCCATTCCATAGTTTGCTTGGTTCATAGATGTTGGACGTTGTGCTCTTTTCAGCCCTCTGCTCGAACATCCGTGCCCTGCGTTGTGCTCTCTGATATGGTCCTTTTGTCTTGCCAGGGTTGCCTAAGAACCTAGTTCCACATGTCAAGACGAGGTGAAGAAATGCTAGGCCATGAATCATTGAGATGCCGTCGCCCTTCCTTGAACACCTCTTGTAAGATCCTAGAAGACGAGAACAAGCCAATATGTTCCTTAGTCAGATCCCCACTTATGCCACCTCACGACTCCCGAGGCAGATAATATCCCCGGGCCCCTTGGACCCGTCACCCGTGCATTCGCAACTGCCAACAGCGTCCAACTGGTGTTGAATACTTTTAGCCTATCAGGGTTTCCTTTCAGTGCCCCATAGACAGCTCTCACCGGGAAAATACTATCGAATACCACCTTGGGTATTGGCACCATTTTCTACCGTCTCCGCCATTATAGTCTTTCACACCGCCAGGATCAGTCTCGTTTCAAGGAACAAAACGTCTGACCATAAATCAGGCATAGGAGTCTTAGAACATATGTTTGAGCACTCTGTGTTTCCACCAGGTAAAACTTTACTATGGTTTGTAAGAGAGGGCCCTTTGAATGAATCCACAAACTCAGGTGGTAGTTAAGGTAAGTTCTTTGCCAAATCTCGTCAGGAACGCATGCTACCAGCACATGCTCTTCAACGGAGGTCTTCGGTATCTTCACACACCTCAGCTTTCCCCCATGGCTGAAAATGCTGACCGAACATTGTCATCTGACGGAACTGGGTTCCCAACCTGGCAGAGACGGGAGGGCCAGACGGGAAGGGCACACCTCTACCTGCGTAGATCAAGCTGGAGCTCGCGCACGCCAGGGCCCCAGAGGGGAGATGGGTGTGGGTCCACGGCCCGTCAACAAAACCAATCATGTCACGTCGTTTCTGGCGCTGGAGACAAGGAGACCAGGGTTGCCCGTTGCGGCAGTCCGCAGCATGGTGCGCCGATTCCGCAGTGTGGGGTTATAGTTCCAGACCCTGCAAGGTAGCAACCGCCGGCCGTTCTCGATGCGAGAGTCATCCAATCTGTCGACCGGTCACGCCTCTCTCGAGACAGCTTCAACAGCTGCCCAACCTACTTTGCAACATACTTCTTGACCTCAAAATCGCTCATATACCCAACCCCCTTTGAGGAGCTTTCCACCTAAGCAGCTTCTTTTCTTTCTTGCTCCGCTCGAGGCCGCGTTCTAGCAACTTGACCAAATACACGAAAGTTTTTTTCTTACTTCATTTTTACCTCCCACTCGTATGGAATTTACGGCATGGTGTCCATCGCATTGCGGCATGCCGGTAGACGATGCGGATTGACATCAGCCCCCAGGACGGCAATGCTGCCTGCGCCCGGGAGGCTACGTGAGAATGGCATCACTTCATCGTCATGGCGTTCAATGAGCAGTTCCATTTGGAGACCAGTCTCTGTCCTAGACGAGTGCGTCCATTCCCGCCCCCCGGCACTTCCTATCGTCACATGCTAACGAAGGTCTCTCAGATGGGTCGTGAGAGAAGCACGCCCGATCAGCTTGCGCCAGCTCATGGTCTTTGGCCGCTCCCTTACCGAATCACGACTCTTGAGCTCTGCCAACTATGTTCGAACTGAGCTGCCGACTCGGTAGGGTGCCCCGCGTTCTCTACCTTCATACTTTCAAAACAGTCACAGACTGACACTCGCAACAGAATAGCACATCGCATTCGAGACATGCAACAGCTGCCCTACGTCGTTGTCACGAACCCCCATATCAAAGAAGTCTACGAATTATACAATAATGCATTCGACACCTTTCGCAAGATCAAGGAGATCAAGACCCTCGAGGACAATGAGAGATTCTGCCAAATCATCAGCGGGATGCTCAAGGCGCACCTCACCGTCATACCTAAGCTCTCCATGGGCATCTTGGAAAGCAGAGGCAGCATGGATGCCAAGGACCTCGACAAATTCATGAACACAGTCTTGCGATCTGTAAGTGCTCTTGCAGCCATGGTACACACACCCCGCGCAGACCCACATAGGCCTAACTTGAACGTCATGCAGAGAATATCAAGGAGAGTCATCGCGGAGCAGCACCTCGCCCTCACAGAAACCTACCACTCCCCCTGGTTCTCCCCGGGCGCAAAGCTTTCTGAGTCCGAGTTCATCGGCGAGGTCTTTATAAAGTGTATTGCAAAGGATGTCATCGAGCGCTGCACCCGCGCCGTCCAGAGCCTCGCCCGCTCCACCTACGGCCACGACGTCCAGGTCCCCGAGATCAAGGTCGAGGGCCACCTCGAGTCCAGCTTCCCCTACATCCTCAGCCACCTCGAGTACATCATCGGTGAGCTCCTCCGCAACTCCGTCCAGGCCGTCATAGAACGAAGGCAGCGGAGCAACAAAGACAACAACAACAACAAGGCCAAAGACGCGGACAATAACCCCCCGCCGCCCATCGAAGTCACCATCTGCGAGGCGCAGCAGCACGTAATCATCCGCATTTCGGACCAGGGAGGCGGCATCCCGCGCGAGGAGCTCCCCTACCTGTGGTCCTTCTCAAAGGGCCCCCAGAGCCAGCGCCGCCTCGAGAACCTAGGCCGCGTGCCCAAATTGGCCGCCACCATGCAGGAGCTCCACGTCTCGGATGAGCTGGGCCGCGCCGACATGAAGACCCCCAACAACCACAGTCACGCCCACACCCATGGCAACTCCCTCGCCTCCATGACGAGCCGGCCGCCCGATCTGCGGCTGGGCATGGGCCTGCCCCTGAGCCGGGTCTACGCCGAGTACTGGGCCGGCAGCCTCGAACTGCACAGTCTCGAGGGGTACGGCGTGGACGCCTTTCTTCAGATTTCCAAGCTGGGTAACAAGAACGAGCAGTTGACGACCAGGGCCACGATGGATGCAGTATAAATGTGTGAAACGATCTCTTAAAGACATGGGGTGCAAAGGCGGCGCAAATGTAACGATACCATACTGGCGACACACAATAGGACTTCATTTTTTTTTCTGGGGACAGGAGCACACACACACAGACACACATCTACACAGGTAGCATATCGTTGCAGACACACGCATGAAACAATTGGGATTATAAGGTAGACGCCTTTCTCATTAATTTTG